GCAATCATAGCATTGATTCTTCAATGGACCGACTCTGAAGAGGCTGTTTCTCCAAAAAAAGTCACCCCCGGTGCTGCAAACAAGGTTCTTGTTTCGGAAATACATTTCCTGGGTACAAGCATATCAATTACCGGACAAAAGATTACCGGATACGCATACCTGACGAGCGGCAAGAACCGCGAAACCGGTCGTGTGTGTTCAGGAAAATTTGTCGAATCAGTCGCATACTACTTCTTCTCTGTGGATCAAACTCGTGCAACATCACTCTCATGTTGGAAGTACACTTCAGTTGAGTGTCGTGACGAAAGTGCATCTTGACGTGGTATGATGGCTCGCGTGCCTCCATGATCTTGCGAGCTTTTCACAACTGCAGATTCAATCATGCCTGAAAAGTCAATGGGTAGAGGCCTTGGGATGCTACTCCGGCACATTTTTTAGTCGAAGGCTCCAGTCAGGGTTCACAAAGAAAAACTCCTTTGTCGGTGTGGGCTACCGCGAAGTATGTCCTGCCCTGAAGTGTTGGGCACCCAGTTAGAAAACCCTCCTTCCTATCTGTCGAGTTCTTCCTCTCAATCCCGAAAATTCACGAACACCTACTGTTTACAACACTCATCGAATATCACTCGGCGTTTTACCATCAAGGCCAGATATTCAGAAGCTATAGGGTTTTTAAAGCCAAAATCCCCTTTTCACTTGGCCGCGTTCAATGTCCGCACGCTCTATCAGATTGGCCAACAAGCTGCCCTGGCTAAAACTCTCGAAACTTTCAATGTAGATGTATGGTGTGTCTCCGAAACACGCATACAAGACCCTACTTCAATGATCTCTCTGCGTTCTCCTGAACCAACCTCAACCTCACGCTTCACCCTTCGTGTGTCAGGCGATTCGGCATCCGAAGCTCGCGGTGTTGCTGGTGTCGGCATTGCGCCAAGTGCCAAGGCTGAACACTCACTTCTCGCCTGGATTCCAGTCAGTAGCCGACTGTGCGCCGTACGTCTCAACAGTTCAGCGCGGGTTAACTGCTACAGAACGAAGAGTCGATGCCTATTCGGCGTGTCGGTATGCACCGACCGATTGCAGTACACCTGAAATCAAGGATGAATTCTACAAGGACCTTTCTTGATTAGTCCAAGGCATTCGATTAACGAACATCGTGGTAATCGCCGGAGACTTCAATGCTCAAGTGGGATCTCTGGACGAATCGGAAAGGCTTCTTGGTGGACCACATGCAATCCTAGCCAACCGAACGGACAACGGCGATCGTCTACTTCAACTCTGTGCGGACTAGGGATTGTCGCTGTCAAGTCTTTAGTTCTAACAAGAACCTGACCGCAAGGCAGCGGGTAAAGCAAAGCAGAAGCCCATTAACTTGGATCGATTACTCCTCTACCATTTTAGCGACTGAGACGCTTACTCGATTGGAACTCCCAATGTGGAGGACCAGGAGACTGGACTTCATCTGACTTCTACGTTTTGACATTCCAGGCATGATTAGATCTTCTTTTATTACACACCTAGGTGTGATGAACAGCATGAGGACCTACTGTTCAGTGGTTGAAATCGGCAACCTAAGCCCCGAAACTTGGAGTGGCGAACCACATAAGGCCCCGATAGGTTAAGTGTGGTATTGAATCGGACGACAGCAGAGCTGCCTACCACCAAAGTCGGTTGGCGGTGGTGGAGCTCGAACCTCGGACCATAGGGTCCAAAGCACGCTGGTGACATCGACTAAACCACTGCGCCACCACCACCCATATCTGCGGCTCGACAAAAGCCATCCTGTGTAGTTTGTTGGATTAGAGAAGTGTACAATCTATCACACCACGNCACACCACGTCAAGTTACAGTGTCGTCCGGATGGACAGGGTCACACGTCCAAAGTGCTTGACCCTGGTGTGTCTAACGTGCCTGACGCCTTGTCTAGGATGTTCTTCGTGAATAGTTACGACAGCTGTTTGTCTGTAAACAATTTTTATTACTGAGTGTTCTGTTAAGTTCAGTTATTACAGCCATTAACCATGAACTTTTGTGCGCAGGTTGTGGTTGCTGTCTTTAGGTTGCCTATTCTGATAAAACAGCACAATGAAGATTAAAATGTTAACAGAGAAAATGTAGAACATACAGAGAGAGAGAGAAATTGCATGTCCACTTACTAGTAAACTGAGTTTTTGAGATTTCCTCGGGAGAGATACGCGACACTTTACATTTCGGTGAGGACGATAATTCGCAATTGGGACATTTATCGACATTAGTCTCCTGCTCCTCCGGGGATAATGGACATGCGGTTCGTGTTGCATTGTTTCCGTGACCGCTGCTACTGCTGATGTGACCGGGGCTACTTGGACTCCGGCTATCATGCACGGAATTCAATTCGGAGTTCAACGAGACCACCGTGTCATTCCGGTCGGACGAATGGTTCTGGAAGACGGGAGTGGGCGAAGAGACCGGTTCACTAAGCGTCGGTTGGACAGAGGTCTGTGCAGTGATCGAGCTAGCGGACGAAGTGAACGGAACGAATTCCTCACTACAAACATCTCCAACTGCATCTGGTCGTGGGACTAGATGGACCGCAGCGGATATGTCACCTGTCCCGGTGGCCGCTTCACGGTACGCTCCAGTAGTCCCTGCAGATGAAACGTCTCGGTCGCGCGGCAAGTTCTGGATGGACTTTGCTGCCGGACAACTGTTCGGTACAATATGAGGAGACGGTTGTCTGGAATCGGATGTAACTTCAGTTCCAGTAGAGGTGGCAACGCCAAGGAGAGCGAGATTTTTCAGTAACTCACATCCGATAGCGCCACAACCAACCTGAATGCAGCAGAACATCAACAAATGATTCAAAGCGGGAACGCGTAAAAAAGGGTAATTCTATCACTACGAAGTAGCGAAAGACAACTACGGCACGTAGTTTTGAAGTGTCACATAACAGGATTAAAACAACTTTCTGCCTGCGCTTAAAATAGAATTGAGTCTTAAGTGTAACAGGGTGTGTTCAAGATCTTGTCGCTTATGCCTAGCTAAAAGGATGAAAACGGCTAGTAGACAGGCTGTCTTAATCAGCTTTGAGCAATGTTTTACAATATATGTATATATATTTCATAATAAGTAGTATATGAATGATTCGAGAAATTGAGATACGCTGTCCTCTAGATAGGGTACTTCTATTGCCTAATCGCTTCATCTCTGACAGACTGCATTGGTTACGTAGGCTGACAGAGTAGGGGGTTTATAGCTCAAGAGGTAAACTGACTGTCAACTTTCGCAATGATCTCAGTGGACATGTTGCTACAATGAACAGTATTGTACAAGCATGAAACGGGACCAAGTACAACGTCACTTGATTTTCATCCACCTGCGACTGTCGCCACAGAACAAGTATTCAAGTGGCTGAATACTATCAACAACCATTAATCCTCCGCTGCAGAAGAGTTGTCCTCATTGAGCTTAGAAACATGTGCAAACCATCTGGCACAAATGGTTTTGTTCACCTTTAGTACATGTCTGACAGAGAGACAGTGTGTATGTTGACTGGCTGATATATGGTGTGATGCTCGTTCGCATCACTTCGGTAGCTAAGAAAGAAAAGCGAAATTTTCGATCAATTGCTCAAACCTCAGTAATATTTCCTCTTCTGTGGATCTTCGTGACTCCAACCAGTTCGCCTATTGTAAGCGTCGTTCCACTGTGGATGCGGTTGCTCGTTTCACATTGTGTTAGAAAATAATGTTTGAATGGATAGTTTGTTTTACTACATTATTCGTGTTTTTTTCTGGACTGATCCGTATAAGACTTTAATTGTGTAACCTGTTGATACACACATTCCGTTTTATCCAGCCATGATCGACGCGTTTAACTCACTTAAAAGGAACACCCGGTTGACATTATCACATCAATAATCTCCCGCCACACCTGTTTTAGTTGGATGCAGGACTATTCTACTGACAGACACTTGTTCACACATCCTAATGCCAACAGATCTTCCACTGGCTATGTAAACCAAGGTGTAATGCTGGGAACAATTGGATCCCCTTTTCTGTTCTTCCCATAAATGGCATACCACGAGTACAATGAGCAGCACCTCTCTCTGAAGCGTGAACTTACAAAGAGTTTGAGAAACGACAGAGAAGCCTGGTGGACGCTATGTAAAAATGAGATGGAATCAGCGGTTAGGTGTGGAAACACCCGACAACTATTCCAGCTCATCTTTGCCAGAGGCCCCAAAAGACAGTGCGTAAGTGAAACAATCTGCGAATTAGATGGCACGTTAATAAACAGCCTTCACCGACGATTGGAACGTTGGGCAAAAGCACTTCACATCGCAGTTCAACCAGCCCCCCCCCCGCTAGCTGCCCCAAGAAATTCTCTTGAAAGTGCACCCTGGTCACTATCCACGGGACCGCCCACAGAAGCGAAGATCCGAAGGGAACTCCAAGTCCTGAAACGCCACAAGGCAGCTGGATCAGACGGCCTGTCACCTGCCCTCTTTAATGATGGTGGAGAAGCTTTCATAAGGGATTGTGCTCGAAGAAATGGGAAACTGAAAGTGTACCCCACATATGGGGAGAATCGATTGTCACACCCATCTACAAGAAGGGCTGTGCAACGCCTGTTCCAACCACAGGGGCATAAGTCTGATTCAAATAGCGCCGAAGCTGCCAACGCCCGTTTTATTACGCAGGTTATGCCCATTCCGCGAGAAGCA